TTAAAATGCTTCTGAAAATTAGTTATTTTATAATATAATTACTTCACCTCTATAGTCCAGAGCAGATAAGAACTAGGTTAACGGATTGGTGAACTGGTATAAGGAAAACAGCCTAGTTTTAAACAATGGTAAAACCAAACAGATCATTGATTTCAGAAAAGGCAGGCACAGCCACACTCCTCTGTGCATTAATGATTCACATGTGGAAATGGTTACCAGCATCAAATTTCTGGGTGTGCAGCTAACGAGTAGGCTGGCTTGATCGCTCAACAGTGAGACACTGGTGAAGCCGCACAGCAGCGCCTGCATTTTCTGCTTTGCATGAGAAAAGCACATCCTCCTTCCCCTGTCCTTACCATTTTCTACAGAGGGATGATCGAGAGCATCCTGTCGTATTGCATGACAGTCTGGTTTGGAAGCATCAATGCTTCAGACCGGAAGGCGGTGCAGAGAGTGGTGAGGATGGCTGAAAAGATTATTGGCAGTTCCCTCCCTTCCATCCAGGACATAGCATATAAATGTTGCTTGAGCAGGGTCCGCAAGATTGTCTGGGACACTACACATCCTCTTCATGACCTGTTTTCTTTGTTACCTTCTGGAAGGAGGCTTCGTGGTATCCGAAACAGAGCAGCCAGATTCAGACAGTTTTGTTTCATACAGTATTAACCTTGTGAACTCTAAGGTTTCCTCCTTCCATTATGTATTCAAGATGGACAGTGATTAATATTTATATGTTACTTTATGTAAGGCTATAGGTGTATACATATGTTGTATATCGTATGTTTAAATGTGTCTTATGTATGTGTACACTTTGATAGCAAGCAACTAAATTTCATTTTTAATGTGTGCCATTGTACCCATAGTAAAAAATGACAATAAAGGTTATCTATCTATGTATCGAAAAGCGATGGAACTTCAGAAATACTGAAAAGCAATGGAAAACTCTTACTGTCTAACAGCATCTGCTTGCTCTTTGTGTTATTTCCATCCAACTACATGGGCACAAAACACCCTTAGAGAAATGACAGCTGCTGTAATTTATTTTCCTATAATATTTCACTTATAGCAATCTTCAGCTGTGAAATCCACTACATGTTTAGGATAATAAAGGTTAGATGTGCTGTCCCACACAAATACCATCATGGGAAAAAATGTCACACTAAGATTGAACCATCTAAATAAAGAATGCATGGTTCAAAACAGCATATCTATACATCTAAATCATTCTTTCACAGAATGCTCGACCACAGATATAGACCAGACAATTCCTGGGTGTAAGGCTTGCACTAAGGAGGATCCCTTGGAAATTACAAATAAGCAGAGATGGAGCTCATCTTCTATTTCCTGTTTTTATGTTTCCCGTATAATATGCCGTCTATTACTTATGCACAGTGCTTACAGATTATGGCTACAAAATTCCAGACAGCCACTAAATGGCATGAACTATAGTACAAGTAGTCCTTGACTTTCAACGGTAATGGAGCCTGCCCATTACCATGTCATAAGTCATGGTAATCGTAAAGCAGGTCACCCATATGACCAACCCAATTTTGTTACTTTTTTGCATCAGTTGTAAAGCAAATGTTGCAGCCATAAAGCAAATTGATTGTTCCCTATAAGGTGAATTTTGCCAGAAACTGGAAGTAAATGTTAGTTTTCAGCAAAAATGTTATAAAACATGGTCATGTAACTGCAGGTTGCTGAAAACGGCTGTAAAAGTGAGCAGGTCACTTAGTGCCTGATATGCGGTCATGTGACTGGGGGGGGGAAGGCAGTAATCAGAAATTCAGAATTGGATCTTAACTACCTTTGGGGAAGGTGGGTTTGTGTAACTTTGAACGGTTGCTAAGCAACCGGTTGTAATTCGAGGACTACCTTTACTGTACTTCTTTATTTTTGTTCTGCCATTCAGGGTTCATTACAAGTTTTGCAGTCCAGATCTAGTAGTTCTAATGATGCAGGGTCTTTTGTGTGAATGAGCCTTTATATAAAAGGGCATGCATGCATGCACACAAAACCCAAAATGGGAATAGAGACAGGATAACTGTTAAGTAAATATTTTATTCTTATATTTTTAGCATATCCTTCCTTCAAAGAGATTAAGGGTTCCTCCTTTCTATTTGTTATTCTCATAAAAACCTCATGAGATAGGTTTGCTAAGAGAAAAAATAATAATAAGAAATGATAATATGTGACCTTCATAACTGTTGGATTCTATTCTAAATACTAAACAACAGTGTCCTTTCTATATAAATGGACAATGACTTCACCTCAATTTCTCCACCGCTTTGTTCTGTGTACTTATTCTTATTAAGATTTTAATCTCATTTTATTGGCTGTTTTATTTATTGTTGTGTGCTGCCGAGTCTCCTTTGCGAGGGGATGGGTGACCATATAAATTTGATTAATAGATATTATCTTCAATCTTTTCGTTTGTTCAGCTCTACTTACATTTGCATACACAGAGCCTCTAAAACTAATTTGTTGCTTTTAACCATTATCATTTTTGAAACAATAGAGTTGAACAGCTTCTAAAAAGTAGATTGGCAATACCCATATGGTTATTCAGAAGAGACTGCACATAACAGATTGCAGTCCGAGAGCAAGCAGGAGGACACTGATTTATGACAGACAGATATTGCTCAGTATGCATATTCCCCAGGCTTTTTAATTTGGATGTTTTTAGAATGTCAGCTCTGGTTGTTTTTGGCATTGCCTTTTTTGATGCAAACTGTTTTCCTGGATCTTATCAGCTAATGTAAACTGCCCTGGAAATGTGGAACTGAAAGACAGTTTCAACAGAAAGACAATGTTTCAAAAAAAACACCATAACTGCTTAATGTGGTTTGATCCTGCAAAGAGTAGCTTGCTAGTCATTGCAGATCCTACTCCAAAGACAAAACATGTAGAAAAACAACAACAAAATAACATGACATTTGGGATAGGCTTTATGGCACAAATTTCACCGGCTACAACTCATTTCCCTAATGCATAACTCCGTCATGCCAGAGTAGATACTTATAATGAAGGCAAATTTCTGAATTCTGGATGATCAATCATCTAACTGCGCTTTGAAAAGAGATAAGGTTTCAATCATGAATTTATTAAATAAGAAATGTTCAAAACTTAGTGTCTGGTGTGGCTAAAATAACATCCCCTATTAAATATACATATTTTGAATCAATGGATTTCAAATATAATGAAAATAATTCCTATTGTATTTGTCACTATTCAGGTGAAATTATGCATAATGGTATTATGGTTGACACATTCTGATTTAACCAACAATTTAGGAATAATAGAACATCTCCCCCAAGCAATCCATTAAACTGAAGTGTGTGTGTACACATACAGTATATGTGTACAGTATATCATAGAAATGTAGCTTGTAAGCACCTTGTAGACAAAATATTACAGGCTATTTGAAGGTATGGAGAACCTGCAGTCCTCCAAGTGTTACTGAATGCAGCAGTTTTACCCCAGCAGTCCCAAGTTATAGTAGCCAAACTGTCCCTCTGGATGTATAATTACTTTTAACATTATTTTTGGTATGGTTAATTCCCAGAATTTATTGTTGCTTTATATTGCATGATCTTGGTTTTAGTTTCTGGGTGTTACATATTTGTATATTTTAATACAAATAAATAAGTAAATACATATAAGAGTAGGTGAGTGGGAGCACATATATTAATAATTCCTGCCTTAAATTGACACACTTTTTGCTGCAGATAAATGCAAGTAAATCACCAGGTGAATGTCACTGACTCCAAATTATTTTAACTTTTGTTTTTTTAAAAAAATGTCAAAATCAGTGGATTAGTTCTTCAATATAACAATTGCTCATTACAGAAAAGCCTTAATTGCAAAATACAGCGCTTTGTCCATAAGGATATTAAATGTAAGGGACTTTGCCCTTGTGGCTATGGGAGTCTGAATTACTAACAATTATGCTCCTAATCTAGGAATCTTTAAAGATATATGGCAATTTCCCATTGCTCCAATTTTATAGTCCCCCCCAATGTTACTATAATGTGTCATAGACCAGTGTTTTTTACTTACTAGTTCAGATCTTGAGAGATAGATAAACATGACCACATTTTATGCAGTAACCTGGAGACACAGGGCATCTTTCCTATTTCTTTTTAACTGAGAAGACTTGTTTTATGATTTTAAGTTTGGGATTATTTTAGGTTAATGTATACTACCTTGCACACGTGTATATACAATTTGACCAACATTTTCTGATTTGATGTATACATCAGATGTCATACGTAGATCATTCTAGGTCAGATGGAAGTTTTTTCTAAGCAAAGCTGATCAAAGAAGTTTGTAATATCTCTTTTCTTTCTTTGAAATAGCAAGGTGGAATCATTTCTAACAGAAGAACCAGAAATACATATTGTGGGGCAAGGTCCCATTACTTAGATTCCCTAAACAAAAGTATATGTCATACTAGCCTCTTCTGTCCTAAACATATTTGACCTGAAGTGAATCATACTGATAGGATTTTAAGATCTATGTGTTTAATTCCTGGTTTTTAAATTAATAATAATTCAAATGTGAAAAGTGCCTTATGTTGAGGTAATTATAGAGTTCCAGCTCAGACTGAACAGGGGAATATCTTTAAACATATTTATCTAGTTCTTAGACTTACATCTTGCCTTTTGTGTAGGTGGTCATGGTGGGATACATAAAACTTCATTCTCCTGTTTTGCTCCAGAATGACAACCTAGTAAATTAGGTTGGGCTAAGAGAGAGTAACTGGCCTCCCCAGTGTTTAGTTTCATTTGATACTGTGATAAAACATATTTGGAGTCTCCTTCAGCCCCCAGATATCTGACTGGTTTAAACACAGTTGACACAAAGGGCCACTTTCCCTTTTAAGTATGTAACAGTATGACTACCCTCCCTCATAAAAAATAAAATTTTTTGAAAGGTTTAGATAAATTAAAGGGAAACTTTAGGTTTTTAATAGATATACAGATATATAGTCACTATACCTGAAAAATATCCATGATCTTACATGGGTCACAGTTTTTCACTTGCTCTTTGAAGGCCTTTGGAAGGGAGATCCGGTCTACAGAGCAGTAACCCCAGCATCTCCTCTTGTTCCTGAAAAAGCTGGAGCATTTAAAAGGTTTTAAATAGCTGAAGCAAGTTATACATAGTAAGGAGGAACAAGGAGTGGAAAAAAAAAAGGACGATGTATCTTTAACCCACAAAGGGTGGAGCAGATTTTGTTCTGAGCTCGCTAACAATGGAAACTTTTTTTAATGTTTCCCTCCATCAGTCCTGCCAAGCAATAGGAAAAAAAGAAAAAAGAAAGAAAAGAAACTTGTTCCGCTGAGTTCAACCCCAGACAGGCTCACAACTTCCTTCCTGCTTTCCGACCCCCTCCCCTCCCCTCCCCTCCCTACTCTCGCTCCCGCACATTCAACAAACACCGAAGAAACAGCCAATGGCAAGGGTGATGGTGGAAAAGGCGAGTAACGATCGCGGCGGCTGAACAGTTTAAAATAATAGCAGTAATAATAAAGTTACAGATCCAGCCGACCATAGAATTCGCTCGGTCTTTCAGTTACGCGCCGCAGGCGGGGACAGGAGAGGCGTCTAAACATCTTGACCAGGAGGAAGAAATTATTTCTAGAGCAATTTTCAAGTCTGCGCGTCTTCATGGCTAGAGCTTTTCCCGAGGCAATTGGATAGTCAAGGTGCACCAATCTCTCCTGGACAGGTACGACCAACCTCTCCGATTTCACTCTCTTAATCCTTGCTCATTTCTCCGTTCTCATTTCTAATCCTTGCGTATTTCCTGAGCTCCAACTCTTGCGTCAAAATCGATCTCCTTTTCTGGAGACCGGGTCGGAGATTTAGGCTGGGATCAGTAGCGGGCGAGAAATCAGGTTTTACGGGCATGGATCAGTCGCGAGAAACGAGCTTCAAACCGCTTCTACTTCTGAAAAGTGCCAAACTCAGTTGGGCAGTGAGCTTTCGTTATTGAGGGCTACCGTAAACCGCACCTTCGTTTGGCGGGGGTGCCTCTGACACGCTGCCTTTTTCGGGTACGTTCCAAACACACACACACACACACACACACACACACACACACACACACACACACACACACACACACACACACACACACACATCATACCAAAACTATCAGCTGTCTTCCGTAGAAAGAGAAGCACTTCAGCCAAATCAACTCTTGTTGCACAATACAGCGAAAAGAGCCCTGATCTTCGGGTCTCCATAGAGATTGCCATCATTTGTTTCCTCCATATAATATGAGGGCAAGACACGCATCACAGGGTTCAGCTTGCACACAAACCGCACAGCCATGTCCAGCATGTTTACAAAATATTTAACTCACACCACTGCCTTCCTGCTTTCGTACTGGACACCCGATTTTTTACAAACTTAGTGTAATTTTAAGAATCATTCAGGGACAGAAGTCCAGAAATTGCCCAGTATGCAATATGATTGCTACTTCTTCCAGTAGATAAGTCATTACCCTAAAGAACTACATTCCATTTGAAGCACACTTCCTATTTACTAGATCCACAAATAAATTATTTTGTGCACCATTACATGCATAGAAATGATAACTGTTGGAATTGTGAGAAATAGTTATTTAAAACATGAATAAAAGATGAATAAAGACTCCCAAGATAATGAACCCTTTTCAGAAATTTAAGAAAACTTTTTAAAAATGGGTCAGAGAAAGTTGAAGAAATGTGCATGAAACTATAAATATGCTTGCTATACAATTGTAAAACATTGCCTGGAAGCATATATCATAGAAAGTCATAGAAATAATTACAAACAAGCGTAGTCTTGGTTCAAAGAACAACTTCTTTACGAACTCATATGTAGCTGCACAAGATTACTCAGTGGGATAAAAGAAAAGCAAATCACTGAATTAAAGTAGCAAAACAATTCAGCTTATAGCTAAAAGAAAGTGGCTACTTTTTTTTTAGTTCATTTCCAATTAGCTTACTATATAAAAAAACCTGCACAAGTCACACCTAGCCTTAGAAATCTTAAGAGTAACACTACCAATGCTAGTGTTTACCTCATTAGAAAGATGCTAATGGTGTGGATTCTATACTGTGTGTGTTTCTAAGATTTAGTATGATCCCAGCGTTTAAAAAATCTTACAAGGTTGATAATAAATGGGGTAATATATTGTTATTTGAGATGGATGGAAAAAAATGCAAGGAAGACTGATATCAAATTTATTGCGGCCTACATCCACTGATAAGCTTCAAGAAGCCAAATTAAAGAAAATACTGGAGTGCAATTATTTTTATCTTCAAGAGTTATTAATTATAGCAATGAAGTTATTGTAAGTTGCTGCCTGGACTCACTCAGGATAGGGAGACAGGAAACATATAAATTAAACAAATAAAGACAATTTCAGTCAGTACCATAGAGCAGGATGAGATGCTGTTAAACCTGTTTGTCTTTCCTATTTAAATTGAATACCACATTATAGTTTTTTCATGGAGATACTAATTGGGAATTGGAAAAAAAACAAAAAGGGGAAATGTTAAATATTGTTTTAGCATCTTTACCTTATTTAGAATCATCCTCCACTACAGCCAGCATATCAGCTATTAAGACTTAACAACAAACAAAAACTTAAAAAGTACACATTTCCATATCTACCTTGGTCATCCAGGGTAGAGAACATGGCTTTTCATGTTTCTGATAAAAATGTGTTCAGACCCGTGATAAATATAGTCCCCTTCCAAGTACTACAAAGCTCTTTGGTATGGATTAGAAGATTGTAAAGTAATAACTATAGTATATATTACACATTATGTTGTTTTATTTAATCAAATATCATCTCCTAAAGTTATCAGGTTCCTCACTCTTCTAATTGGACATTTAAAAAGATATAGAACAAGCATCATAGAAAAAGTGCATAAACCAACAGTACATTATATACTACCCCTGCATATGCTTATTGTCTAGTTCATTCATTAAAAAAACTCACATTATCTCCTCATATTGGCTAGATGTTTGATCAGGTCACTATGGACTATGTGAATACATATTGGGCTAATCCTGTATTCAAAATTCAATATGGTTTATTCTTGCCAGCAATTATGGTGCACAGTATATAATTCTACTTCAGTTTCAACAGTGTACAAACTTAAATATTCAAAGCATAGTAATTAGGCAAACTTATTAGCAAGTAAAAAAATCTACATTTTATTCTTGTATGCAGGTAGATGGATAACTTCCAAAGATTCATATAGAAGCGTAGCATTAAGTTACACCAGAATCAAAATTCTTAGCCTATAAATGATACTAAAATAAGAGGTGTGGTTTCATTTGGAGAAGCAGTACTACACAGATGTATAAGGTTACAAATCTGCCTATACTAGTGCAATACATAAATAGCATAGCACATATATAAATGCATGCTTAAATATGTAATACTAATAAAACTATATATCCTTGCAGCAGGAAATAGTTATATATTGTGCTTTCTCAGATTTTAGAAATAAATCCCACTCAGTTCAATAGAATTTAATCTAAATATAGGTTGTTTTTGACTTGCAAATAATTGAGCATGAAATTATTATTGTAAATCGTGCTAGTCATTAAGTGGGTCATCATGTGACCATGCCTGATTTTACAGCCTTTTTTACAGTAGTTGTTAAGTGAACTTAAAGCAAATTCTGTAGTTGTTAAGCAAAATCTGCAGTCATTAAGAAACCCTTTGTCAGCAATGGATGTTGTTTGCTGGAAACTGAAAGTATATGCCTATTTCAGGCAAAAAGTCATCAATTGTAATCATGTGACTGCAGTACACTTCAGATAGCCATAAATGCAGGCTAGTTGCCGGGTGCCCAAAATACAATCACAGGATCCTGGAGGGAGCCCAATGGTGCCAGGACATAAGTACCCTTTTAGGTCCATCATAACTTTTGATGGACTACCTGTATAATCCCAACAATTTCACTAAAGAGACAATTTACTGAAAGTTTCAAAAAATTAATTAACCCAACAAAACAGTAATGTGTCTTGTGACTTTCAAGATGACTCCAATTTCCAGCACTCTCAGTCAGTATGGCTACCAGGAAGAAGGCTACATATTTTGTATCTTCCCTTAAGGCAATACTGTATAAGGAGTAAAAATGAACACAAGTACAGTTTAAAGTGATGTAATGAGAAATAAAGTAAAAGAGCAAAGTGTTGATGCACAATACTGTTCCACCACAGAAAAATGAATTAAGGAGAAAATCTACAGCTCTATTTCTAACTTTATGTTTCAAATATTTATGAATACCATTGTTTTAATTATAACATCTATTTTATTTTTAGTTTCCTCAGATGCAATTTCTAGAGCCTATAGTGATGAGCCTTCCAGCATTACTTCTCACAACTTCGAGGCCAGCATTTAAGGCCTTCTGTCATTCCTTCCCATAGTTACTTTCATTTTAAAAAGAAAAAAATATACGTATTAAGTTTTGGTTTTCCTAAGTCCCATGACTTCTCCCTCCCACCTTCCCAGGAGAAAACCCATGTTTAGGTCCAGACTTGCTCCTTTGTTTTCATGGAAGGACTTCAGATATTTGGCTACTTTCTTCCTATCTGTTGATTTTTTTCTGACCCATGGCCAGAATGTGGATGGTTGGCGTCACTAGCTACTAATTTATTATTAAGCTTTTTTTTTTAATCTCAAGCTTTTCCATTTCTTGACCCTCTCAGTATCTTCTTGGGGCTTTGCCTGAGAAGCAGAACTGGTAGCTTTATCAGTACTTTTATTCTTTTATAAAAAAACTGAATTTAAGACTAACTCAAGGAGACCAAGAAGATCAATCTTCTTGCCATTAAGCTTTTTTTTCCATCATAGGGAATACTGATTGTGAGATCAAATTTGGGTGGGTCACCAGGGCCAGAGATTTACTCTTCCAAATGTTCGGACTCATGCTGGAGCCCATCTTCAGGGAATTATAGGAGCTGAGGGCTTGGCAGCACAAGGAAACAACAGCCAATCGCCGCCCATCAACACACCAATCAGCCAATATAAGGCACCATATAAACACAACTCACAGCCCAAAGCATGAATTCCAGTAAAGAGAAATTCCCTCAAGATGGGCTCCAGCATGAGTCCAAAAGCTTGGAAAA